CTTGGTTGGCTCTATTGTTTGCCAGCTGGCCTGATTCTAAATGTCAGTAAAACTGGTGTTAGTTTTGGACAAGGGAGTATGTTGACCCGTTAGTAACAATGTTTGTGTCCAGAAGCGATACCAGGATTTGGGAAGGGGGATTAGGAGCCTGGTAAGAGGGCATGTGCTGTACGGAGATGAGCCAGAGGAGATGAAGCTACATTTCTGAGAAGGGCTGGGGATTGTCAGTATCTGCACAAGGCAATCTATGAAGGCGCAGCTTTTGTAGGTGATTTAGGGTGAGCTGCCTTGAAAATTGAGAGTTTCTGTGATAGACTTGAGATGGTTCCTCTGCATAGAGGGCATTTAAGTATTTTGCGAAGGAGCGTCCTGGTTGGTGGTAGTTTGTCACCGTAATCCCCACAAAATGTTTTTCTAGGGTTTCATACGCAGTGAGGAGTTCATAAATTAAGCTGCGTGCAGATATGAAATGTCTTTAAACCTTCCTACTGTTCCCATCCATCCCAGTGGCTCTTCAGGATTGATTGGATAATTGGCAGCTTTTTTTTTATTCCACGAGTGTTGAGCAATTCTGCTGGGCAGTGCTAGGTCTCAATAAAGTCAGCGGCGAGCTGAGCTCTGACCTCAGCTGGGAGTGGGGTATCTGGGCATCCAGTTCCTACCGAGGGGCCAAATCTGGAGAACCACACCCAGAAAGCTCAATAGCACTTGGGATCCAAAAAGTATGCAAGTTTTTAATATTCCCTTTTTAGGAAGAACGAGCACTTTTAACGTATATAATTGTTCATATCTAGATAGACTTCTGAGCCATTTGAGGGCAGGAACACTCAAGAGTTCTGCCAACCCCCAAACAGGCCAAAAATGTATGAGATTATAAATAAATCTTAAGTTGTTGGGTTTTTTTAAACTCCTAGCAAGGCAACCCCCATTCTAGCTCAAAAGCAATCAGACTGTTGTTTTTGTGCTCTCCCTTTATACGAGAACAAGAGGTCACTGGATGACATTACTGCTTGGTAAATTTAGAACAAATAAAAGGAAATGCTACTTCACCTAGTGCGTCGTCATCCTGTGGAATATACTGTTCCAGGATGTTAGTCAAAAGCTGTAGCCGGAACATAAAAAATAGCTGGACCGTGATCATTTCAAGCCACGTTTTCCAAAAGGAACAACCGAGCCTCGTGTTCCAGGGCATTGGCTCATGGTGGCTACAGCCAAGAGCAAACCCCCAGGACTCCTTGACTGGGAAACGGCAGGTTTTCAGAGGGAAGATTGCTGTGGCTTCCTTTGGAAATGACAAAAATGGCTTTTCTGGTGCGAGACGCTAGACTGACCATCAGTCTGATCTAGGCAGCCCAGAGTACGTAATAGTCTTTCTCCCCTGACTTTCAGTGCCATTCAGCAGGTGGATGTCTGGAGTTGAAATTACCAGCTGAAATACCAGGAGGTAAAAGTGGTAGGATGAATGTTTTTCTTTCCCTGTGAGTGCGAGCATGTCTCTGTTGAGCTCAGTTTTCCCCTTATTCAGGAGCAATATTGCGACTTGCCCGTTGCACATCAGGCTGAGCAGGTAAGTGGGGCAGGGAGAGCTGAGAGCATCTAACGCATGGTGTGCCCCTGGCTGGCCGTTACAGGAGCCAGGCTACGTAAAAGGCGAGAAGAACTGTTGAACTACTCTGAGAAGGAAACGTCTCTGTTGCTGTGCTTCTGGATTCCTAATTATCCTCATCGTTTTTTAAAATAATTAACTGTGTCACTGCTGGAGGTTAATCAGAACCTAGCTGGTATGCTTTTTTTAAATTCCCCCCAAGAATTGTTAAACAGGTAACTTTAAAGTCTTATCTGCCCATCACAGTGAAGTCTGAGTTGTCCTCCTTAGGACAGGAGTGAGGTCTGAGATTGCGTTTTTCGGTTTCTGATGAGATTGCTAAATCCCAATACAAATGTTGGTTTAGAACTGGCTAATGGGGAATATCCTCATTAAAATTATCTTGTACGAAGTTACGTTGTATTTGCAGCACTGTAGTGGTACAATAGGCCCTTCATTTTAATTCTGTCACTCTTCTCTGGAGGATTTAAGTATGAAAATATTTTTGACGTCTTTATTTGTCCTCTGACTTAGAAACTTTCACTTCATTTGTTGAACATAGGATTGTCCAACATCGAACGTGGGCGTTTTTAAGATCACGCAGTAGGTGACTTCAAAAGGAGTTAGCGATTTCTACGCTGCACAAGCTCTCCAGTAATCCAAGAAGCCTGCAGCCTCAGAAACGACCTCGCATCAGAGGAGCGCCTGCGTTTCTGTATTTTATGCCACTGTTTTTCATTTCATGTCTTTCAAGATGACTTTAAAGTGATACTTGGCATTTTCCGTTTTTAGTGAAAAGACAGAGAAAGAAGAAAAAGCGCACCACTGGATGGGAGTATCTTGAAATGGGGATCCTGATGAAAATCGGTTAACTTTACCAATGTTTTAATTTCTGCTATTTTTTTCCACTGCCCAAGAGTGCCATGTTGAATGAGCTGACAGTTCCTCCCTGCCAATTTTCAAGGAGCAAAAGGTCATTTTACCACAGGGCGCTGTTGGACATACTGTTGTACACATGCTCTTGTACGCACATCTGTTCCTGGCTTTGCAACAAGAAAAGCGAGGCAGGCTTTTTTGCACTATCTGAACAGCTTATTTGAACTTGATTTTACTTCCAGGGAAAAGGCTGCATCCTCTTAGCAGCATCAGAGATGATGCTGGTTCTTCTCTAATTTCACACCGATTTTAGCAGTACTGTTTCAGTGCTCCGTAAAAGGCCTCTCTCTAGAGTAGCCTTTCTTACCCAGCCAAATTTCTGATGACAATGCACCCCACCTCGCATTCTGCCTTTTTCCCAAGCAAAAAGGAAGACTCCCGTGCTTTCCTCCTTTGCAAGTAAATTTTCTCAGAATTGGAATTAAAGGAAATGTCAGGGGAGAGAGAAGGAGGCCTTCTTATTTTTGCAAAACCGCAAATATTTATTCCTGTTTGTTTACAATTGGTATAGATCAGCTCATTTAGTTCAAGATAGGACACTGCATACCGGAACTGTGCTTCTGCTCTGTGTGGCCACTCCTTGCTTTAAAAACGTATTTAGCTCCCTACATTACGTACGCCAAGGGGCTGTAGGGTTCCTCGCTAGGTCTTGGGGTGAAGTTTGTGTAATTGCAGGGGGATGCTGCGATCTGTCCTATAAAAAGGAGCATATTTTGAAAACCGAAGAACTTAACATAAAGCAGAACTTTACAGGTGTATCTATTTTGTTGACATTACACGTACCCTTCTTAGGGCGAGACACTAACGTCAACAGGAAGTTTGATGTTCACCTTCAGAGCTTTTTATTTTTAATCTCTTTTGCGAATCATAGTGAGAGAAGTGAAAAACAGATGGTGGCAAATGGTGGTTAGCAGGGGTCATATATTGAAGTGATGCGTGTGGTTTTTTGGTGTTAATTAACAAAACGTGGGACTATAGTACTTTGGTTACATGCTGGCGAGAGCTGCACGGGCCTCGAGAACCTGACACAGCCCTGGTTTGTTTGAATTTGTTGCTTCAGATGTTAGGGCAGAACTCGCTGGAAAAGCAGATGATATATGGACAGATGTGTACAAAATCGAGAGGGGCACAGAGACTCTGGGCTGTCGGAAGTTGTTCGAGTTGCCACGGCAGAGGTTTTTGGGATTTTTTTAGTGGTGCTCAACCTTGATGCAGCTTTTCATATATCCAGACCTTCCAAACGCTTTGTTGTTGATCTCATTTAAGTCATTTGGATGGGAACCAGGACAGAGGTATACACAACGAGATATAATGTTAGTAAGAAAAGATACTAAGAGACTAAGGTGTGGGGAAGAGAGACTATTGTCTTGAGAAGAGTAAATGTTGGTTTATAGTCAAATCTGGATCCCAGCTGAATGGGCAGACAGGTCAAAGCGGGCAGCCCTGTGGACAGCAGACTTGGTCCGCTGAAGCCCAGGAGCTTTTATTTCTCTCTGCTGCCGCCGTCTGACAAACTGAGAGCGCCTTGTTGGTAGGCTGCCCAGAGACTTGTCTGCCACAACCCCAAGCTGCTAGCGGAGCGTGTGTCGGAATATCTTTTATGTAATGAAGTTAGAATAAGCATTCAGGAGACAGAAGGGTTAACAATGTGGTCATTTCTCTTCCGGATTGTATATCTGGTTTAATGTTTGTTTTCTTTTTTTCTTTTTCTTTTTCTTTTTTTTCTTTTTCCCTGCTTGTCCTCACTCTAAATGGTGGGGGTTTTAATCTGCTGGGGTTTTAATCAGCGAGAAGAATGGGAGTCTCTAGAGAGTTTGGGAGGGCTGATCATTGAAGACAATTGTAGAGCATTAGAGTTTACGAACTCTTCAGTCGCACTGCAGCTGGGTGTGATGCAGGATACTTCAGTCAAGAAACCACATAGGTGAGGGGGCCACAAACCAGCTTGCAAGGAAGAGAGTCTTTTGGGGTCGTTTTTCTGACGAGTCGGTCACTAATCTGATGAAACATCTGTTAATTTGTATACTAGTTTAGGATCTTTTCTTCATAAACATGTGGTGCTGTACTTTCAGGGTAATTTACCAAATACATTATCTAATTTATTATTTGAGAGAAATAGATATATTATACTGTTAAAAAAATGTTTTAATGTTGCCGGTTTGAATCGTCATGAAGTACTTTACGGTTCCATGCTTGATTTCTGTGTTGTGCTCCTGTGTGGGTAGTCAGAGACGTTTCCTAACTCAGTTCAGCGTAGGGAATGAGAACTGAAATCTGTGTAGTTCTTTAAACTCAGCAAAGGAATTAAGTTAGGCCATGGGATGAAAGAAGTATGGTTGAAAAGCGTAAATGACCTCTGTTGCAGCTCATTGCCTCTGAAAGTAGCTTCAGTAGACTAGACAAGTAGTAACGTGTTCTCTCACTATCTCTCACTGGCATGCCCAGAACGTGCGCTCTTAATTTGCTCTTCCCCCTTCAGATTATCACTCCATGTCGGAAGCTCATTCTTTGTGCTGATAACAGAAAAGAGATGGAAGACTGGATTGCAGCACTGAAGACTGTACAGAACCGTGAACACTTTGAGGTAATAAGAAAACTTGCTCTTTTGCACAACGTGCATCATCTCCTAAATAACAGCTTGTTTCATGAGATTGAGTCAGCTTCAGTGACAGTAATAGAAGTCACTGTAGTGACTGTATTGGGGGTAGCGTTAGGCCTTCTGTAGAAACCATCCCACATACGCTGAAATGGTTCTCCAAAGAACGCTTGTTGCTTTGTACGCTGTCCCTGGGGTAACTTTGAAAGCACTTTACAGAGCGTGGGAGGGTATGAAACACAGTTGTCTCCCTGTTGTCCCCTCCCTTATGCTGGCACAAACATTCC